GAAATCCTAATAGATATTTTCAGGGAACTCAAAAAGCAATTTATATTGGAAGGCAAAAGGCCAAGAATAGCCAAGAACTGGTAGGAAAAATTTCTGTATGAGATATCATAACCTATTATAAAAATTATAGTAATTAATATAGTGTCGTACTGGTCCAAAAATAGACAAATGGCATAGAATAGAGTCCAGAAACAGATTCATACCTACATGAACACTTGATTTAAGACAAAAGTATCACAGAAGAAAAGTGGGGCTAGGACTATCTATTCAATACATCGATTCTGGGTCAACTGGATACTCTTATGGAAAAAAAACTAAGCTAGTTTCCTACTTCACACTACACTCAAAAATCAGTTTCAAGTAGAATGTAGATCTAAAGTGAAAAGATAAAAACATAAATCTTTTAGAATTGCTGGAGTGATACTTGGCTATTGAGCACTTGAGATGTGCTATTAAGTGGATTTTAAACACTTAGTATGAAAAAATAAAATACCTTAATGTTTATATTGAAATGTTGAACTGATAATAATTTGAATATATTGGGTCAAGTAAAACATTTTTAAATTTTATCTGTTTTTGTGTGTGTGTGTGTTTATTTTATTTTATTTTATTTTTTATTTTTTAGCGTTACGTGGGCCTCTCACTGTTGTGGCCTCTCCCGTTGCAGAGCACAGGCTCTGGACGCACAGGCTCAGCAGCCATGGCTCACGGGCCCAGCCGCTCCGCGGCATATGGGATCTTCCTGGACTGGGGCACAAACCCATGTCCCCTGCATCGGCAGGCGGACTCTCAACCACTGTGCCACCAGGGAAGCCCTGTTTTTGCTCTTTTAGATACTAGAACATTTTAAATTGTGGCTTGCTTCATGTTATTGGACTGCACTGATCTAGAAGGTAATATAATAAAATATCTTCACAATGTCAAATTAGGAAAAAATTTCTTAAGTGACATTAAAAAGCACTAATCACAAAGGGAAAGACTGATACATTTGATCACATGTAAGTTTTTAAAAGACAGTCTTAGGTGTCTTCTAAGTTATCAAAAAGACAATGTTAACAGATTAAAAAGGCAAGCCATGCAGTGGGAAAAATAAATTTGTAGCACATGCAACTCTCAAAGGGCTTATATCAATAATATATAAAGAACTCCAACAAGTTGGTAAAAAAAAAAAGACAAACAATCCAAAAGAAAATAGGAAAAGATTTGAAACTGTCATTTCACAAAAGAGGCTTTTCAAATGAACAATAAATATACAAAAAATAAAAGTTGGGGCTTCCTTGGTGGCGCAGTGGTTGGGAGTCTGCCTGCCGATGCAGGGGACATGGGTTTGTGCCCCGGTCCAGGAGGATCCCATGTGCCGCGGAGCGGCTGGGCCCGTGGGCCATGGCCACTGGGCCTGCGGGCCTGGAGCCTGTGCTCCGCAGCAGGAGAGGCCACGACAGTGAGAGGACCACGTACCGCAAAAAAACAAATAAATAAATAAATAAAAGTTGGTCAATCTCACCACTCAATAGGAAAATGCAAATTAAACCATAGTGAGATGCCACTACATACCCACCAGAATGGCCATAATTAAAAAGACTGACAATGTCAAGTGTTGGCAAAGATGGGAACAATAAGAACCCTGGTGGAGTAAATCAGTTCCACTATTTTGTAAAACAACTTGATACCACCTACTAAAACTGAACCATAGGCAGTCCCTACAATCCAGTAATTCCACTTCAACAAAATGTTTGTATGTGTGCACCTAGAGACATCTACTAAAATGTTCATACAGCATTATTTGTTATAGCTTGTATTGAAAAATCCAATGTTCATCAGTATTAAAATGAATAAATAAATTGCGGTACAATCACAAAAGGGAGCACCACACAGAAATAAAAAGTAATGAAACCATAGCTATCTACATGCAACAGCAATGATGAATTTCACAAACATAATGTTGACCAAAAGAAGCCAGACACAAAGCATGCATACCATATGATTCCACTTATAGAAAGTGAAAAAACAGCCAAAGTAATCTATAGTGTTAGAAGTCAGGACAGTGGTTACCTTTGAGGAGAAAAGAAGACAGTGTTTGGGAAGGCGCATGAGAGAGGCTTCTGGGGTGCTGTCAATATCGATTTCTTGGCTTGTGTGATGGTGACAAATGATTTAACACTTTGTCGTAAATCAGTGTGAGCTGTACATTTTGGAGAAGAACACTTTTCTACGTCTATGTGTGATATTTCACAAGAAAAAGGTTTTGTTTTATATTGTTTTTTAAATGTGAGTGCTTATCAAGAATTCCTAACTTGGAAGTCTGAGTTCTGACAATTTATGGTGCCAGGAGGGAAATGCAAGGATCTCTCATAACCCAGAAGCTCTCCACTTTTACTTTCCTCCCCATCTGCCAGCTGTATAGAGGGGATAATATGGCTTTTCTCTTTTATGTGTTAATATGGTGATATTCAAAATATGGTGGGTATTTCCAAATATTGAACCAACTTTGCATCTCTGAAAAATCTCATTTGGTCATGATGTATTATTCTTTTTTTATGTTACTGGATATTATTTTCTAATACTTGGTTAAGAATTTTTGCATCTATATTCATAAGGTATATTTATCCTTAGCTGTCCTTTTTGTAATAACTTGTCTGGTTTTAGTATCAATGTAATGCTCACCTCATAAAATGAGTTGGGAATTGTTCCCTCAACTTCTGTTTTCTGAGAGGGTGTGTGTAGTATTGGTATTTTCTTCAATTTGTGTTTGACAGATTAATCAGAAAAACCATCTGGCCCTGGAAGGTATATTGCAGGAAGTTTTTCAACTACAAATTCAATTTTTTAAATACATATAAAGTTATGCATATTCTCTCCCTTTCTCTCTCTCTTTTCTGTTCTGGAAATTTATATCTTCACAAAAGTTATCCATTTCATCTAAGTTGTCAAATTTATTGACAAAATTCTTTATGATATTTCCTTTCTCTCCAATTAATGTCTGTAGGATGTGTAGTGATGTCCCACTTTTATTCATTATATAGATCATTTGTGTCTTCTTTTTTTCTCTTGATTAGTTTATTTGTATTGTTGAATTTTCTACAAACTAGCTTTTGATTTTATTGGTTTTATCTATTGAGTACTTGTTTTCCATATTATTCATTTCCACTCTATTATTTCTTTAATTCTACTTATTTTTTATTAAAATTTGCTCTTCTTTTACCACCTTCCAAGGTATAAGCCTAATCCATCAATATTGCACTTTGATTCTTTCCTGGTACCAGCAATTAAAGCTATAAATTCCCCTCTAAGCACTGGTTTATATATATTCTAAAAGTCTTAATAGCTGTGTGTTCATTTTTTATCAGTTCAAAATATTTTCTAATTTATCATGATTTTCTTTGATTCAAGACATTTAGGAATGTGTTGTGTAATTTACAAGTAATTTGAATTTTCTATCTTTTGGTAATTGACCTCTAAATTAAATGTGTTGTGGTCAGAGTACATATTTGTATGATTCATTCCTTTTAAATTTACTGAAACTTGTTTTCTGGCATAACATATGGTCTATATTGGTTAGTAGTCTACATGCAATTTAAAAGAATGCGTAGCCTGATATCAATGGGTCAATGTGCTCTAATTGTCAATTAGTTCAAATGATTGGTAGTGTTTTCAAGTCTTCTATATACTTACAGATTTTCTGTTTACTTGCTTTATCAATTACTAAGATAGAAACGTTGGCAGTTCTACAACTTTTGCTTTATGTGTTTTGTTTTGTTTTTTATTTTTATTTATTTATTTATTTTTTGCTGCCTTGGGTCTTCGTTGCCACATGCAGGCTTTCTCTAGTTGAGGCGAGCAGGGGCTATTCTTCATTGAGGTGCACAGACTTCTCATTGCGGTGGCTTCTCTTGTTGTGGAGCATGGGCTCTAGGCCCGTGGGCTTCAGTAGTTGTGGCACGTGGGCTCAGTAGTTGTGGCTTGCAGGCTCTAGAGCACAGGCTCAGTAGTGGTGGCTGCCAAGGGCTAGGGATAGGAGGCAATGGGGAGCTGTTTAATGCATATAAAAACTTTCTGGAGATGGGTTTCACACCATAGTGTATGTGACTATACACTACTGAACTACAATATTTAAAAATGGTTCAGGGCTTCCCTGGTGGCACAGTGGTTGAGAGTCCGCCTGCCAATGCAGGGGACACGGGTTCGTGCCCCAGTCCAGGAAGATCCCACATGCCGTGGAGTGGCTAGGCCTGTGAGCCATGGCCGCTGAGCCTGTGCGTCTGGAGCCTGTGCTCCGCAACGGGAGAGGCCACAACAGTGAGAGGCCCGCATACCGAGAAAAAAAAAAAAAGTTCAGAAGGTAAATTTTATGTGTGTTTATCACAATTTAAAAATTTTAAATAAATAAACTGTAAAGTCCCTAAGGTACTTTTAGGGTTATTCTGTCTATATTATCACACGGCTGATATGGGCCAGAATGTCTTCTCAGATAGGAAACCTCCACTGTTTGTGAGACAGACATAGAGGGTCTCAGTTCTGGGCAACTGCTTTAAAGTGGGAGAGGATGGGACTTCCCTGGTGGTCCAGTGGTTAAGACTCCAGCTTCCAATGCAGGGGGCATAGGTTCAATCCCTGGTTGTGCAACTAAGATCCCACATGCCACAGCGCCTCCAAAACAAAAACAGAAAACAAACAAACAAAACACAAGTGGGAGAGGTTTCTGACTACTTCCAAAATCTTTTTTAGGAAATGACTGGCCAAGGTGAGGTCCAGTCCTAAGCTCATTACCTCTCGGGTCTATCACTTCACGGCCAGTCGTTTTCTGGCGGTGTCCAGCCGCGATTCTGTAACCAGACTAGGTCCAGAGAAGCTGGGAAGGTGAATTGAGCAGCCAAAGGGGCGGGCCGCGCGTTATAAGGTTTGGGGAGGATTGGGGTGGACGGGCAGGAGTGAGGTCCAAGGGAGGAGGGTGAGCTAACATGTGTTGCCTGGAGACGGCTTGGGACTCTGTTGCCTGGAGACCTGGCAGCCGGTGAGCGTCCAAAGGGCGGTGAGAGGGGGTTAGGTACTGACCAGACACAGCAGAGCCAAGGCCATGGCTGGACACCAGAAGGAGAAGGCGATCGCAGATGAGGTCCACCAGAACCAGATCCTGCGGGAATTGTACCTCAAAGAGTTACGAACCCAGAAACTCCACACGCAGTATCATGTGAATCCACTCCGCAAGGGTGAGGGGAGCTGCGGGATGGAGGAAGGGAAAGGGGGCGCCCCCAGGAAGGAGCCGGCAGAGATGCGGGCGGGGTGCTGGGTGGAGCACAGTAGGAGACGCCTCCTGTGACCTCTCATCCCTTCATAGCCTTCAGGAACTATGACTTTGGGGTTGGAGAGGGGTCTCACCCCCCATCACATCGAAAGTATTAGATACATTAAAATGCATCCACGTCCTGATTAAATAACATTTTATTGTAAAAAATTTGAAAGGCTTTTTATAAATTGCTTTTGAAATATTTTGCAGGTTTTATGTTTTCTTTTGCATGTGTTTTGGTTTGCTGCTATTAAAGGATTTCTTCTAACATTGTCTTAAGACCTTCAGAAAGTTCAAGGGGAGCAGACTCAGGGTCCAACGTGCCCCCCCGATAAAATGGCCACACCCCCACTCCTCACTTTGCACATTCCTGGGCCGGTTTCATCTGGTCCTGTAACATCAGCTCCCCCTAAATGCTACCGAGTCTCAAATGGAGCTCCAGACCCACGTCCCCATCCACCTCCCGGCTCCCTTCCCCGGGACATCCCTTAGGCACCTCAGACGGACTGGTTCAGAAAACCGGGCTCGCCCCGCACCCCTCCCCCACCTGCAGCTACTCCAGAATGTTTGGTTTTAGCCAAAGGCACCACAGCCCTTCTCTCTCCCAAGTTAGAAGCTTGGGAGTCATCCTCAGTCTCTCTCTCCCTCCCTCCACACAGCTGAGTAGGCACTGTCCTGTTTGTTCCTTATCCTTTCTCTCACATGATGGTTCCCATGTTCCCGCCTCAGTGGGAAACACCATCATGCATGGCGAGGTCTCTCTGCCTCACCTCATTTTTCTCCGCTCTCTCTCCATCCTCACTCCCAGGCCCTCGTCAATCCTGCCTGCATTGGTCTGATGGGCTCTTAACTCTCTCTTTCCCTCCAGGCCCAGCTCTCCAACCCTCCCCTACACCACTGCTGGCGAAAGCTGTGCTAAAGGGGATTTGATCATCCAGTCCCTCTGTAAAATCCTCAGTGGTCCCACAGATTCTGAGCTAAGGTTTAACCTGATCAGTACCTAAGGCCCCCGTGGATCTAGCTCTGCTGCCCACCCAGCTTCATCCTGACTCCCCTCCCAACCCGCACACTCTTCCTTTAATAAAAATGTTAGTGCCTGGTCTGCACCAGCCACAGATTTTCTATCCCACCATATTTAGATGCATGGATTTCCTAAATCATCTTCAGTTTCATAAATATTGTTCCTTCTTTCCGAACTTCTCCCCCAGTCCTGGGCCTGATTAACTGCAGTCCACTGCAGCCCAGCTTTGTAAAGAAAATGTAATGTCATTTCTAAAAATAGAATCTGCATATAGTTAAGGTGTACCACGTGATGTTTAGATATCCGTATACGTATACACAGCGAAGTGATGACGACAGCTATATCCACCTTCTCACACACTTACATTTGCGGGGGGCGGGGTGAGAGTACAGAAAATGTATGTCTTCATTTAGCTTATAACTAACCTGGTTTTCCTCTGGAGCCGCCAGCTACTAATTCCAAGAAAACCACTTAACGTCCAATTCTGTTTAAACTTGGTCTGTTTCAACGATTTAAATAACCCCTTCAAGCGGCATCCAGGCTTCCTAGGAAAAGCGCTTGGGCTCCCAGCTCATGGTCCTTGGGTACATGATTAATATGATCCATTGGGATTAAGTGAGGAAATATCAGAATTTGTATCTATGTTTACACTTATGTATAAAGAAAGAAATGATGCTTTGTTAATATATGACAACAGTGCATAGAGACTATATAAGTATTCATATGCGGAAGTTTTTTTACTGGTAGGAGTTTGAGATAAAACACTTGGAGATCACTGGCTCCTTCTGGCCTCTGCTCATTTACTACTACTCTCCTCCTAGCTCCTTCCACTAGAGCTACTCTGCCTCTCGATGTTTCTCTAACTCACCAACCTCACTCTTGGATCCCTCCCACATATCCTCACACAGCAAATTTATTCAGGACTCTGCTCTAAGGTATGTCCTTAGAGACATATCACCCACACTACACCCCACCATCAACGTGGGTTTACCCATGTCACCTGCTTTATATTGTACATCCCATTTATATTTGCTTGATATTATATATCTGTTTATTGAGTATCACCACAAACAGAGTGGAAGCCCAGGGAGTACGGGGACCTCCTCTTTCTTGTTTGCAGCCCTACCTCCAGTGCACCAGTAATTACGGGCTGAATAGATGTCCGTGGATCCTACACCTCTGTTACCGCATGGCCTGCTGGGTATATATCACTATCTCTGGCTGCCTGGTATGTCTGCATCCCCATAGACCAGTCTGTCCCAGAGAACATTCTGTGATGATGAGAATGTTCTCTATCTGTGTTGCCCTAAATGGTAGCCAGTAGCCACATATGGCTGTTGATCATTTGAAATACAGCTGATGGGACTGAGGAATGAATTTTCAATTGTATTAAATTTAAATTATTCAAATTCAAGTCACCGCATGTGGCTGGTGGCCACCATACAGGACAGTGCCTCTCAGATTGTGAGGTCCCCGAAGGTCTTAAATGCCCTAGTGCCCAGCACAATACCTGACACATGACAGACACTCAGAAAATGCTGACTGGGTGTCTGGCCTAGGGTGGGTCTCAGAGAGGCCAGGAAGATCGTTTTTTAACTTGAATCTGTGATGCTGTTTTTCTCTAGTTCACACAATCGCCAGAAAGCCCATGTCTTGGCATGATAACCTGGAGGAACCTGCAGATGGTAAGTCTGGGGTCTGAGAATACCGTTGAGATAGAGCACGGAGAGGCAGCCGGCTGGGAGTCTCTCAGGGCAGTGGTTTTTTGGGGCAGACCTCAGTCCTCTGTTTGATCATCTGAAAACAGGGCTCATACTGACAAAGCTCACAAGAGACTGACACATTCAAATAAACAGCCAGTTCATTAACTGTCAAGCCAAAAACATGTTCCTAGTGGCCCTGACATTACGGTCATTCATCCATCCAATACTTAGCTGTTACAAGCACAGGTTCTGGAGTCCTAGTAACTAACTGAGTTTAAATCCTGGTTCTGCCACTTGTTAACTGTGTGACTTCGAGAAAGTTTTTTAACCCCTCTGAGCCTATCTGTTAGGGGCATTGTGAAGATTAAACAAAATAACCCAAGTGCTTAGAACAGTATCTGGTACACTGGTGATCAGAACATGTTATTATTTTCATTATTACCATGTGATAGTCACTAGGATGGGGCTGGGGATCTCATACCATAGTCAAGGAGACAGACTAGTAAATACACAGGTAAACAGAGAACAAGATTGGGGTGGCAGCAGCATAGAAAACAGGTGCCCACCTCAGGCGGTGGAGTTCTGGGAAGTCTTCTTGGAGGAGGGGATAAGAGGGTGAGGTGGAGTATGTCAGGGTGAGAAGAATGTGGAAGGACATTCCAGGTATATGGAAAAGCACAGAAATGAGATAACAGCATGGTCCACGGACTGTGAGGAGTTTGGCATGGCTGGCATGTACGGGTGAGTGGGGGCCACGTTTGGGAGTGCGGGAAGAGAGATACTTGATGGGAAGCCTAATCCTTCTGGCAAGCTCTACTCCTTCCCCTCTACCTTCTTAGAGTGGAGTTTGATAGAGGATAGACGTGTGATTTTTGTAGAAGGACAGGGTGGGAAGTGAGGGGTGGGAAGGAGGCGTGAGGATCTCATAGCATCACAGAGACAGACAAGTAAATAGACTAATAGAGGACAATCCAAGAAAGTAAGGTTGTTATCTGCAGTGGAGACATCAGCCTGGCTAGAATGAAGGATAGGAGCTGGGGACTTGCAGCAATAAGGGAAATAACAGGTGGTGAGGGGCTCAAACACTGGGCAGGAGTTCATTACTAGCTGCCTTGTATTCAGGATAAGCTCGGCCCGAGGCCAGGTCCTGTATTCACAGTCCTTCATTTACTTCTCAGACATCTTGCTGAGGTAGATATTTTCCTCCCATTTTGCAGACGAACAAAGTGAGGCCCAGAGAATTAAACCACCTGTCAAGCTAGTAGTGGAAGGGCCACGAATACCCAACTACCAAGCCAGCTTCTTCCCCTTGTCAGACTGCCTCTCTCAAATTGAGACTGGATAGGATAGATTGCAAATGAAATGTGTCTAAGTCCTTAAGCCGTGGAGTTACAGATATACCTGGTGTTGACAGCCATGCTGATTTCAATCCAGAAGGATCTGACCTCACCTGGTACAGCCCAGCTTCTCACTCTCTGTGCTGCAGCTACATCGCCCAAACTCGCTCATGCCCCAGGACATTTGTTCTTGCCGCCTGTGGCGTGCTTTTCCTCTGCCTCTCTCAGAGCTGGCTCCTGCGAGCCTTCCTACTGAGTAGCCAGCCCTGCCCCGACATGCCCCTTTGCCAACTCCCTTCTTCAGAGTTTGCATCACTGTCTGCCACCATTGGGTTTGTTTTTATAGGTGTATATTGTGTCCCCTGTCCCCTCACCTAGACTACCTCTCCAGGAGACCAGGGACCATGTCTATCTCACTCTGCTCTACCTCCAGGGCCCAAACAGTGCCTGGCACAGAGTTTGCGCTCAACAGATGTTTGTTGAGAGATGAGCGGAGGAGCCAGATACCTGTGTCGCGAGGTCTAGGCAAGCGTCTGAGGCCGATGCTCTGCCTCTAAGAAAGGATGAGCCAGAGTCAAGGGCACAGGATCTCTCGTTTGGTCCCAAAGCCTGACGCCTTCATAACTCATGCCTCGTCTCCCAGCCAGGTTCATAAGTCTTATCCACCATGCTGCCCAGGGACCAAGGAGGAAATACCCCGAGACACAGACTGAAAGTCAAGAGATTGGATGGGACTCAGAGCCATTGGTAAGTGTGTCTCCTTCACTTGGAAGGTCAGAGGTAATCCAGTGGTGGCTCAGAACAGAGTATGGAGCTGACTGCCTGGGCTTTGACCTCTGACTACCATGTACTAGTTGTGTGACCCTGGTAAGGGACTAAGCTCTTTTGGGACTAAGTTTCCTCCTAGTACAGTGGAGATATCACAGCACTTATCTCATAAGATTGCTCCGAGGCTTAAATGGGGTGGTGTTTGTAAGGTGCTTGGAACAGCGCGTGGCATGTAGTGAATGCTGGTAAGTGTGGATTAAGCAAAGCTTGCTGATGACAGACGGCCTGAGTTTGCTCTCCCAGGTGTTAGTAGAGTGGTCTTGGGCACATCACCTACATCTCTAAATTCTGTCCCCTTCTCTGGAAAATGCAAACGCCCGTAACATATTTGCCTCGTTGATTGGAGCAATCAATCCTAGGTGCAAGGAGCCTGGCCAACGCAGTCTTTAGCATGGGATCTCCCTAAATGATATAGGGCTTCTGTTTCTGAGGAAGAAATGCAGGGTTTTGTTTTCGTTTTTTTGTTTGTTTTTTTGCGCTACGCGGGCCTCTCACCGTTGTGGCCTCTCCCGTTGCGGAGCACAGGCTCCGGACGTACAGGCTCAGCGGCCATGACAGGGGCACGAACCCTTGTCCTCTGCATCGGCAGGTGGACTCTCAACCACTGCGCCACCAGGGAAGCCCAAATGCAGGGTTTTGAATAGACAACTTGAAGAGCTTCCTGCTACACTTGTCTTTCAACTCTGATTATGTCTTTCCTCATATAGAAGGTTTTAATTTTTAAGTAGTCAAATGTGTCAATTGTTTCCATTTTGACTTCTGGGTTTTGTACCTTATTTAGGAAAACCTTCAAAAACCAGAGTTACAAAACACCTAATTTTGCTCTGTATTTCCCCCTAAGTTGTTATTACTGTTGTTGTTGTTAAGATTTGGCTCTGAGCCCATCTGTTTCTTTTGTGGAAGATGTGAGGCTGGAGACACTGTTCCTCGGCTGTGTCAGAATTTCCTTCATTACCTCAAAGGCACCAAGACCTGCACACCCTGTCTTTATATTTGCTGCCCTGCCGATGCCTCCTGGCCCCCAGCCCTCACTCCTTGAGAAGTCCCACTCACCCTACATGAAATCCAGGAGTCACCTCCTCCCTAAAGCCCATTAAGACACTTCTGTCCCCCACTCCCCCTGGGCTTCTTGAGCACCATGTGCTCCTGCTGAGCTGCAGCTCGGTATCAGTGCATCAATGTAACCTGGTGACCCTGGAGCCAGACAGCTTGCGTTCAAATCCCAGCTCCAATGTTCTCTAGCTTTGTGAACTTCACCTCTCTTAACTTCCATTCATCTGCCTTAACATGGGGATAATAGTGTCAACACTTGAAGGTTTGTTGTGTGGATGAACTGAGACATATATAAACTGCTTAAAATGGTACCTAGCACACAGCATGTGCTCAGTAAATGCAGGCTACTGTGATGTTGAGGGGGAAGAATAGACAAGACGGCATGGGGCCCAACTGAGGACCAGCTCAGTGCTTCTCCTGGCCTGGTGGCTTAATCCCTGTTGTCTTTATCTGGTGAATAATTTTCTAGTGTGCTCCCTTCCCAAGAACTCCCCACACCCTGTAGTCCTCATATTTCTACAGGCACCTGTCTTTCTCACCCATTTATTTTTTATTTTTTTGTGGTTCGCGGGCCTCTCACTGTTGTGGCCTTTCCCGTTGCGGAGCACAGGCTCCAGATGCGCAGGCTCAGCGGCTATGGTTCACGGGCCCAGCCGCTCCACGGCATGTGGGATCCTCCCAGACCGGGGCGTGAACCCGTGTCCCCTGCGTCGGCAGGCGGACTCAACCACTGCGCCACCAGGGAAGCCCTTTCTCACCCATTTATACAACTCCAGTCTGGGCATGGCTCTGCAACCCCTGGTTCTGTGCAGGGCTACTGCATGGAGATTGGAATAAACATCTCACTGAGTCGGGTTTTACCAGTGAAGAGCGCAAATAGCTGCTCACTTGTAACAGCCCCTCTTCAGATATGGGGCATCGCGTTGGAGGGAGGAGACTGTGCAAGACAGGGAGAGGCTTCCAGCAGGAGCCCTCACCTCTTACCCAAGAACTGAGTCCAGAGGGAGAGGCGCTGTTGGGCAGCTGGGGAAGAGATAAACGCTCAAAGGGTAAAGGAGGAGGATGGGAGGCGGGGCCACATAATTTACAGTGACTAAGGGAATGGAGAGGGGGCTTGTGAACGAAGGAAGGCGGAGTGAAGAAAAAATCCTCCAAGTTAGATAACTAAGCAATGTAGAAAAATATCACAAAGCACAAGTCATTTAACTTACTACTCTTCATTTTCTTAAAGAGAAAAGGCCTGGCTCCCATGGGTACAAAGTGTATGGGTAGAAGTGTTGCATCTCTGACCAGCACATCTCAGGGCAGGCCCACCAGCCATGATAGGAGACTGGCTCGGCTAGCCCTGCCCTGCGTGGGCCCCCAGATCACTAGTCACTGTGGGGTTTCAGAGGGTCTGGAAATACACCACACCTGTTCATTTTAAACCTGGGGACAATGCCATCAGATGGCACTGGTGGCAAAGTAAGAAAGCGTACCCAGAAAAGTTAGATCCAGGGGTCATGCAACCATAAAAGGTAATTAAGCTTTCAGAATGACGTGTTTGGGGGCAGAAGAGGTTTGATCAGCCCCAACTTAACACAGGGCTCCTGCCCCCAGCGGCACCTCGCCCCACACAGGCAGAGAACTCCAACCCCAATACTGGGACTCTGGGGAAGCCACACTCAGTGAGTATCGCTCAGCCTCTGGTCTCCTGGTAACATTTGCTGAAAGTATAACCTTTTAGCTAATGGCACAGTGTAGCTTCTGTGAGATTTGTGTGTCCCGGGACTCACTCTTACTCAGTTCTCTGTGTAACTACTTCAACAACATCCAATCTTTCATTCAGCAAATATGTCTTGAGTCCCCTGTGTGTGCTGGATACTGTTCCGGGTGCTGGGATATAGATGCAGCACCTCCCCTCATGGAGCGTCCATGCCAGTGGAGGGAAGAGTCCACAGGCCTCCACCGTAGGCAGCGGGAAAGGGCAGTGCAGCAACTCTGCACAGTTGAGATTCTCATGCAACCCTGCAAGTCTTTTGGTGGAAATGTTGTCTTTATTTCACAAACAGGTTTAGCAAGGAAAAGCACCAGAGGCTGCACATCAGGAGACTGAGGCCTGATTCAAGTCCAGGTCCCTACAAGCCCAGGTCTTCCTCCTTCCCCACTGGCTTCTTTCTGATGTCTGCCTTCCCCCCTCTAGGTCAACCCACAACGCGATGACCACAGGCTGAACCACTTCAGGGTCTACAATGACATCACTCTATACAAGGCTAAAATGTGGAGCTTGGGAGAAGATGGTCACAAGTAGCATTCCCGCAGTGCTGTCAATCGCTGTCGTTAATGCCCAGAGTGTGTGCTTCCCAGGTTAAAAAAAGACACTTTAAAGCCTAGGTCTGACTTTTACCGTCCTGAGTCTCACATTTCTCCCTTCTGGTTCATATCCTTAATTTAATAAACTAGGGGGAGAATTCCAGTTAAAGATGGCAAACTAAAGGCCTACAATATCTCCTCTGCCTTCCAGACCCCAGTAAAGGATAATAAATGGATTTTTTAAAAGGTATGAACCCACAACAGAGAAAATGAGAGAGAAACCTTAGCAGCCAAGAAGACTGAAGCCATGTTTAAAAGACGGAAAGCTGATGGAAGAGGGTGGAGGACACCTCTGAGCACAGAGCTCCGCCCCCCAGAACTCTGGAGGGAGGTCAGGACTCTGGACAGACTGGGGTGTGTGGGAGGGAACTGAAATGGCCACTGGGAGGGGGGCTCTGCAGGGAGTCTCCTCCACACACCCCAGCACCAGGCGTGTAACAGCTCCCACGCTGGAGGTTTACTCTTGGAGAAATGGGCAAAGCCCAGGGCTCAGGGACACTAAGTAAGACGTGGGGTCAGAGTGAGGTGTAAGGCTGAAGACAATGACCATCTGTGAAAAGGAGGTTGAACCTCTCACTCGCACATGCTGCATTTTTACCCCGGGTTTGAAGCTAGAGGGCTCCTTTCTGAAAAAACGAAACAGCTCTAAAGAAAAGACCCCCCCCCCCCCACACACACACGATACCATTTGAAGGTCCTGGGAAACAAGAACCGGGGAACGTCCAAGCAGGTGAACACACGGAGGTGCTGGGAGAGTCACTCGCCCAGGGAGGGCATGGACGTTCTGTGCACTGCCCCCCACCCTGCCCCCAAATCCCTTGCTCTCTGTATCTCTTCCATCTGGCTCTTCCTGACTTATGCCTTGAAGGGTGAAGCCATATATTGCTGCGGTCACTCCTGCTTTTGTATCCTGCCAAGACTGAATGGAAGCTCCAATGCTGAGTGGCCTCACCCTGACAGCCATTTTCATACAAGGCTGGACTAGACCAATTATTAGTGACTACATGGGAATCTAGAAGGGGGCCAGTATCTCGTAACCGTTACAAACTTTTTGCTCTAAGGAATCCATGGTCAATGACCAAAGGGTGACCTGTGATATCATAGAAAGAGACTTGGTCTTTTCCTGGTTCCTGATGCAGAGCTCCTAAATCCTTTGTAATTTCCTAAAGGATAGGGGTGGTAGGAGGGTCTTTTGTTCTAATGAGGTGACCCTTAGCAGCCTCTAGACAGCTTCAGCATGGGGGCTGCTCCCCAGGAAGACCAAGCCTTGGTTAGAAACTTGCAACTTTCAGCCCCACCACCCAACCTCTGGGGAGGGAGGAGGAGCTCAAGATTGAATTAATCACCAATGGCCCATGATTTCATCAATCACGCCCACATAGTGAAACCTCCAAAGACCCCTAGACTGCAGGGTTTGGAGAGCTTCCGGGTGGGTGAACACATCAAGGTGCTGGGGGGTGGCAGTGTTTTAAATATCAGGATTTGTGGCTTGAGTGTGCCTGGCATTTGGATGCACCTGGTCTTCCTTTAAGGTAGTGCTGATTATTGCTAGATTACTGGATTTTCTTGAGTGGTCATTAGCTTACAACAGTCTCCCGAATGCCTTTAAAATTCCCTGTCTTTGATCCCCTAGTGGGATTTCTAAACGAATTATCCTACTCTATCCCTATCAGATTCACCTCCAACATTTTATCATTTGTACTTTCAATGCCACAAAATATCTCCAAGAGTCCCTTTAATGGGAAGTTTTCTGCCAGTGTCACTTCCTCTGGGACATCATCATCCTTTCCATCATTTTCCTCATTCTGTTAAGTTCACATTCACTATTTCTCTGGCTGCATCTCTATCTAGTCTCTACAACAGCAGCCTTGTCTCCATCCCCCCATCACCTGTCTCTCCTATAACTCCATTTGCATTCTATTCCATTTTACTTCCAACCTTACCACTTTTCATTTCTTTGCTGCACTTTCATGTTGGTCAATTCCCTCTTTCAATGACTTACTTTTGTAAAACGCCATGTGGGTTTATCGCTGGAGATGAGACAACACAAGTGCACTCCTTGCCACCTGTGCATGAACTAAATAACAGGTGTGCAGTGGCCAATCACCCACATGCTTCAAAAGCAGTGATATTTGGCCACTATTATGTTTCTTTTATGCAGTGGTTTATGAACTGAAGAGCCAGCAGCAAAGTTTCTACTTTCTGCAATTACTTGGTTAACAATACTTTAGTAACTGAAACATGAACAGTCTTGTCGAGGAACACTGCTGCTATAACTGCACCTTGATAGCTGAAGTCCACGTATATTGGAACAAAGCAAAGCAAGAACAGCCTGGACTCGGTAATGGGAACTGCTAGCTCCTACTTATCTTTCAATGCATGGAGCTGCATTTTAAAGCAGTATGGGGGCTAATGCTGAGTTCTATAAAGTATACCTCTGAAATTAAGGAAAGTGATTCCATTTGCTATAAAGAAAAAAAAAAAAAGGAAAGAAGGTACATTGTTTTCAAAACCTTTAGAAGTACTCAAATCAGTAATTTACTTTTGTCCCTACCAGTGTGAACTCTGGCAATCTGTGTTCACCTTTCTTAAAGCTCTCAATATGTTCCACATATAATTCAAAGTCTCTGAGCTGAGGCTCCTTATTGGAATTACTATACGTTACCCCATTCACTGCCATTGTACAGACTGTCAAAATAGGTCAGGGTTAAACATGGTGGTCTTCTGAGAACATGACTTGTTTGCTTGGAATTTTGCTCATTGAAATTAGTTTACAAAAGCTAAATTCATTCTTTTTGTTCTAGAAACTCAATATCATAGGAAACCAGAGAGATCCTTTTTTAAGTCCCAATGATGCTACAAGGAAACAATGTGAAAATCAGTTGTTTTTTTCTGCCTAAGCATATAGAGTTCTCAGATATCTGTAGCCTCCTTAAAGTATGGCTTCTGAACTGGAATAGAGAGAGGAGGGCAGGGAAGCTGTCTTCCTTTCCCACCTTTCAAGATACAGGAAAGCCCAAACATGGCCCGCCCACCACATCCAACCTGTGCACAGCTCCCAGCCAGCAGTGGAGAAGCTTCAAACATGCACCACCATGGCTCAGCAGACATTAGGGAGAGCCACCCCACCCAGCAAAATAAGCCTACGCAGGTATACACTCTCACACGGCAGGCAGTGTCCTAAGCATTTTGCACAGATCCACTCAATGCGGAAAGGAACCCTCTTTGGTAGATACTATTATCATGACTACGTGGAGATGACAAAGCACAGAAAAATTAACTTGCCCAAGGTCAAGCAGCAAGTATGCAGCAGAGCCAGGTGTCAAACCGAGCAGTCTGGCCCCAGAATCCATGCTTTTAACTTAAACAGGGCTCACTTATTTATTATCAATAAGTGGCAGTATTATTTAACATGTAAAAAGTAACTTCTAAATCTTTTAGTCTTGAGTTTTTAACCAAGAATATATATTTCTCTGAAAATTTTTCTTTAGTTTATTGAAAGAATTTTTACAAAAGGAAACCAACAGAAGGGATCCAACTGCATTGTGAAATCCCAAGTCTCCATCCCTTTTTCTTGGTCTTTGTATACAAAGATGCTGCCTATTTAGCGTGTTCTGCTCTTCATTTTCTCTCTTGTCCGTTTTCCGGGTCTCTTCTGCAGAAAAGGAAACACCACATGTATTCACACAGCAGTTGGCCTTCTGCCCCAGGGTCAGGATACAGGAAAAGAAAGGGAAGGGGAGTGGCGGGGTGGGAGAGGAAGCTGCTCTGGCCCCTCACCTGCGCCCCCAGCTCACTTACATTTGATCCTTTCTTTCCAGGCCTCTTGAGGCCCTTGCCATGAGCTATCTTGGCCCGGAAGCCGGATACATCATCATAGCTCTCACGAGTGTTCCACTTGGAGCCTTTCTTCTTCCCACCATAACCAAACCTCTGGTTTTTATAGCGTCGCTTGGCACTGGGCCTGGAAAAAAGCGGTCTTACACGTTACCCTCAGCACTGCAAATCCTGATGAATGTAATGACCCAAGAATACCCTCAGTTTCCTATCTGTACAGGGACTACTGTACCTAGAATCTCATCCTTGGCCCTACATTTCTACTCTACAAACTCCCCAGGCAAGCTCATCTCTTTACAGTCTTAACCACCAAAGCAGGAAAACAAAGCAAGAATCAGGAAAAGACCCAGATATATCGTGTGGCTTTTACCACTTATCTTCAGAAACCTTTCTACTTACACTAAATCTTGCTAAATCATCCTCAGTTGTTTCAACTCCTCTCAAGTATAGTAAATGCAGTTAACATTCAGGTGCCATACATTTTAAAACTGGTCGTCCCACAGGAATCTCAATTCACCATATCCAAAGTCACACACGTCACATCCCTTCTAGACTGGTTTCAGCTCCTGTATCTATGTCCTAACTTGAGGCTGGTGGTCCTACCATCTACTCAGCCACCCACACTATGAACCTGGAGTGGGCCTTGATTCTTCCTTCTTTCATTTTCTACACCCAGCTCAGTTACTGAGACCTGCTAATTTAACCTCTTGAATATTTCTTCAACCCATTGTCTCTTCTCTACCCCCGTTAACATTTCTATGTCATTATCTTGTTCTCTGGACTTCTGTAACAGTCCCCGCCTCCCTCACTTACACAAGCAACACTGAAATATTTAAAATATGAACGTGACCTGCTCGCTATTTTGAATAAAGCCCATCAGCGGCTCCCCACTGACTGCTGGATACAGCCCAGGCTCCTCACAAGGCCAACAAACACTGCCCTGTACTCGGCCCAGGTCCCCCCAGCTGCACCACGCCACTCCTTGCCCACGCTGTATCCCTGTAACCGAATGCTGGCTGCTCTCATCTCTACGCTCCTGCTCATTAGTGTTCTTCTTTCTTCCCGAAACCCCGTGTCTCTCCCGTTCTCCTGGTTAATTCCTTCCTACTCATGCCTCAGACTAAGCTCAGGTGGACCCTCCTCCAGGAAGTCATCACCTGACCCTGACCCCTGGACCATGTC